GTGATACTAGGTGATACTAAAACCGAAAACGAATTCTTCAATCTAAAATGATCAGAAATATAGTAGGCTTTTCAGGCATAGTCTTGACAACAGTGCAGCTATTCCCCTCCAACGGTTTTCTGATCTGAAGAAGAAAAAAAAAAAAGATTGTGCGTTCCCCGGAGAGAAAAGAAAATGTTGTGCGTCGCGTGGAATTTCGATATATCGAAGTTTGACGCGCGACGCAGCATTTGAGGTTATTCCCGTACTTTCTTGCGCGCTACGCGTAATGGTTAAAATATCGAAATTTCTCGCAGGGCACATAATTTTCCGTGAAACACTCAAATTTTCCTGTGCAGCGGAGATTTACTGTGTCGCGCGTGTATTTTCCTGTGTTGCGCACGCGTTTTAGGTTTGGTCCCTAACGGCGTTCCATAGTGCCACCACCTTCTGTATTTCCTCTATGATCCGCCATTGGCGCCATAGCCAGCCATAGCATGGACCAAGAGAATAAATAAGGACTCCCAACTCCCTATTGAATCCTGTGTTAAGAACCGTTACCGCGCGCTTGCAGCGAACCTGGCAGAGGGTGCGGTGAACTAACGCCACAATGGTCCACGATCGCACCTCTATAGTATGTTATTCCATGCAATGTTCTTTTTTTTATCTATGATTTATTTATTTGTTTAGATACTTTAATACATTTTACTTTCGCAAACTAATAATGAAGTAGTATAGATACATACCTTCTGCAGAGGTCAATGCGAAAGACTTTGATTTGAAGTATCTTATCAAAACACGAGCAAAGATGATTCAGTCTAGAGTCCCTTTATACTGAGAGTCAAGACAATTTGAATCCATTTCTGATTGGTTCCCGTATTTTAGGCCTCCACAGTGTCACAAACGGGAATAAAGATTACATTTTCACCAATTGCAAAAATTATAATCTGGAATGGACCAGGGAATTACGGGTTCGGCAAGGAACAGACGGAATGAGAGGAGGAACGGAGAAAGGCATTTGAGAATGGGCCGATCAAAGATTACGAAAAACGTTCAATTTCTGTAATCTTTATTCCCGTTTGTGACATCCATGAGCCGAATTGTCTTGACTCTCAGTATAAAGGGACTCTAAATTCAGTCAACTTCTGACGCAGAATCAAAGAGACTTGCTAATAATCAAATTAAAGGTAATGCTTGAGGTCAAGTATCTTTGATTTTGTGACACTCAGTTCATCAGTTGATTTTTATCAGTACAACACAGTTTCTCACTAAAAAGATTTCACTTAACAGAGAAGCGCCTTCGGCCTTCGGCTAAAAGTACAATCCTGATTCCTGCTGCACACTACATACACACTTCCTTTGGCTTTCTCAACAGCAGTTGCTGCTAGAGTACCTGTATAGCGAGAGTATAGACAGATGTGAAACTCCGAAAGTCCATCAGGCCTTCACCGATGTCTCCGCGAATAAAGTTAGGGCCCAGAAATGCAGCCAACCTATGAATCTCAATTATCCAGGGCGCTTTACTAATACAATTGTTACGAACCATCGTTAATAAAGCACGTATTTGAATTACTTGTTGCATAAATTTACTCATTTTTGCGTTAGAACGCTCATTTATGTACATTCTTAGCCATCTTGGTTAGAATTGGAATGTGCAGACTGGCAGTGAAATTTTGTGCGTTAGAAGTTGGTTAGAAGGGTGGCTGCACTTTTGGGCCCTAAGCCCTCCATGAAACGATCTGTCCATACTCTCGCTATATAGGTACTCTAGTTGCTGCTGAGTAAAACGGTCAGATAAAAACACTTCACATTATTACCAGTTTATGTACCCGAAGACTGACGAAGATTGAAATGAAAATGGGAAACTTTTCACACTAAACTCTTCAAAACTGCAGGGCGACCACGAGGATACGAGGATCTAGAAACTTTTATGAGCACTACTGACAATGAGTGATAAGCCTAAATAGGTGGTGCATGGAAATATAAACAGGTAGACCCAATTGTCGGTTTAGTTCACTACACCCTCTGCCAGGGAGCGCTGATGTCAGCGGTAACCGGCGTTGGGGGTCCTTATTTATTCTCTTGGTCCATGGCCATAGCGCCCGCCTTGCCAGATACTTAGTTATTTATTTATTATTCTATGATCTTGATCCGCCTCTTTGCAGCGCCTTTGCTAATAGAAAAAGCCAAATCTAAACAAGTGCCAACTCAGCTGACTACACACAAAGTTTATTTTGACTTCAGACAACCAAATCCACAGTACATTCATTCAACTCCGCTACTTCGCATCTGGAAATATTTTTACCGGATAAAAAATACTCTTCCCATCAGAGTCAAAATTAAGTACCCATCATTAAACCTTAGTGAAGAGTGAGAGCCTTGAGGTCCACCGTCAAATGGCTGTATATCCAGATTTACTAGGTAAATATCAGCCCAAATGAATGTGCAGATTTTATCAGTTAGCTGAATCATATCCATATCTCACCGGCTGCATGTGTAGCATAGACCCAAGACCGTTGCCTGGAACGCATAGACACTAAAGTCCGCATTTGAAGGAGGTAATCTGGATTTTAAACATCATATTTTTGTTACATCTAGTACATTTATTATGTAAGCATTTAGTTTGGTAACTAAATTGAATAGTTGCAACTATCTGTGAGCAGCAACAACTGTGAGTTACCAAGACTATGATTCAGATTAAGAATATTTTTTCCAATCTCTTCTATTCTTGTACCTAGATCAGTTAAATTATCTTATTTTGTTTTCTTCAAGTTTTTTTCCCCTTTTAGGTATTTATTTATTTTTTTTTTGGCTTAGAAAGTGGGGAGAAAACGGAGTCCTGGCAACTACTGCTCATAAGTGCCAGCAATTGGCGGCTAGTCCCAGCCCCTGACAGCCGCAATCAGCTGACAGGGGGATCGAGAGGGTCACCTACATCCAGCATTCCTTTTATTAAATCAAAGCTTGCTTCAAGTTTTATGAGTGGTTTCATGATAACTGGAATAGTTCTGTTGCTGTAACAGACAACACATTTGTGGTCATATTTTTAGTAGTAATGATAATCACTCATTTTTTTTTTGCATCAATCTACACAGGGTTACGTGTTATAATGCTTTTCAAAGATTTATCGCTCTACTTTTCAGTTTTATTATATAAATGGCTGAAAATGTGCTGACTGTTATGCTGACTTTTTACCGCGTAACAGACAGCACGTATTGGAATTTACATCATATTAATTGAGAAGTAGAGCAATCAATCATTAGAAAGCATTATAATATGTAACCATTTGAAGATTAATGCAAAAAAATTTGAGTGAAAAATATTTTGTCTGCCACGGCAGTAAAACTATTCCAGCAATCATGAAACCACCCTTATTCCTGATTGAATTTTTATTGCTTTCATCATTGCACTGCGTCACATAAGAGTAGGTACCTATCTCTTTTTCTGTTTTTTTTACACTTCAAAAATCCCTGAGGGGATAATCTCTTGCTTTACTGAAGTGGACTGTACTTGCATTCATGTGTTTACTCCTTTCCAAGGCCTTTCTGCTGTGGAAGAGCTAGGAAGGGATGGTCGAATATTTCAAGAATCGAATATTTTATTCGAACTATCGGTACCAAGATAATCGCATCACATTCAAATGTTGGTGTAATTATTCGAATATTCGATTATTATCCAATCAATATCTGAAAAGGCAAAACTGCGATTATCTACCTTGTATTTTCCCTCTAATTGTTCGAAATTTTAGGGTTAGACCCTCTAAACCTTCATGCCATGGTTAGGAAAAGTCCATTGGGTGGAAATACTTTTCCAAAAGTGCAAATATAAGAGACATATGTGTAAGCTAAGTATGACTGAAAAAGTGAAACTAATTTAAAAAACTAAAAAATCGAAAGTATTTGGTTATTTGCTTTGAAGTACCTACTCAAAATCACAAGTTTCGATTTCTCTAATAATCGCAATTGATAAGTTTCGAATAATCGAATATGATATTCGTCCATCCCTAGAAAGAGCCTTCTCCTCCTCCCCCCCCCCCCCCCCCCCCCNATTGGGATGCTAATTTTTTCAAAATTTAAATTACTTACAAAAAGTCCAGGTTTTCTAAGAACTTAAAAAAAAAGTTTATGTTTAAAAAATTGTGATCCAAAGCAAAGTTTATCAATTATGTTGACTAACATGCTCATCCAGGTTTGAAAGTCTGCTTATTATTTCAATCCAAATGTCTCAGACATATCACAAATACAGCCTTCACAAAGGGTTAGAATATCATACTACTTGTAAATTATACAAATTTGCATTTTTTTAGTTTCAGGTTCGCTAAAGATTGTAGATATTATGTACAGTCCAACATTTCCTGTAACAGTTAGTTATACAATTCCACCAAGTTCACCACAGGAATGCTGAAAGATGGAAGAAATTTTCGTTCATCGTACTATGAAAAAGTTGGTTTCAGAAATATTGACGATAGTAAATACCTGGATGTCATTCTAGCCAGCAAAGATTTAGACTTAAACCGTTTGAGTCAATTTTGCCTGAGATTTACTGTTCCAGGCGTGCACAGAGCTTTAGTCTGGAAATTAGTTTTAAGTAAGTGCTCTTGACTTTCTCAATTTCCTTTTACGAAGTATTTCCATAGACAAATTGAAGCGATATCCTCCCATCAACATTGTGGCAATGGTGAAAACTTTTATTCTGAGGAATTAAAATTCTTTTGTGGCCAAAGACAGTCATATTGGCCAGTCATATTCAGTCATATTTGACCTGTCTATTGGTCATGAAACACTTCCTTGCAAGCTGCTGACCTTGGACTGAAGCAGTCATAGGTACATAAAGCTTTTGGTTCCCTCAATTTAGTAGCAAGTAGCTTCTATGCTGCCACACTCGAAGCACTTGGTATGTGCACGAAGGGCAAACGGTGTACGTAGAAAAATACATTCAAAGTTTTCAAAACAGCATTTAAAAAAGAAATTGATATCTTGCAACCAACTATATTTGTAATCCTGACACGTAGTCCTCAAGAGGACCTTATACTTCAAGCTGCCTCCATGTGCGTCAATTTGGCCTTCGTGCACGACACATTTTTTGTTGGCATTTCTGATATAAGAATTGGATCTTAACTAAAGTTAGTATGCGTATTTGTAGGATCAATTAAGCTGCTCTCCACAATCAACCCTTGGCGCATGCAGCCCTATTTGTAAATAATGCCTCAATTTTGATGTGTTCTGATCCTTGTGGCAAAGTCTGCAGAACTTACCACTTCAAAATGTGTTTTTGCCATGCACATTCCAATATTTCTCCATATGAAAAATATGAACGAAAACTAGGGTACTTAAACAGACCCTATTTCACAATGAAATCGTGAATGCATGTGAAACATTAATGAACACTCTGTGCTGTTCATTACCCATCTAATCTCCTCCTAATTTTTGTTCTTGCTTGTTTTTAACAGAAGTTCTTCCCTTCAACAAAGAGTGCCATTCGTTTGTTACCTACGCACGGCAAGATCAGTACAACGATTTAAGAAATGCTTTAATTGAGATGAAGTACATTGATAAGGCCATGCCTGAATCTCAAATCGTCATAGCCATGTGGCTTCTAGAAAACAAATGTCTCAAGTTTACATGGAAGTTAGAGGTATTGTACAGAAAAACTGTCTTATTTTTCGTCATCCTAAGCCAAAAGGAAAAAAAAATTCCATCAATCTTCTCTTGTAATCCGTTACTTTTCAATTAAAATATTCTTGAACAAAATTACACAGCAGTGGGCACTGAAGGAGTCAAAAGGTTTGAAAACATTTACTTGAAAGTAAAGCCACTGAGGTCTGATGAGTGACCAAAGGTTCACGCAGACTTTGAATGAATCGTTTCTCGTAAAAACCGCAAATGTCCATTTTTTGCAATATAGAGAAATTCGGGCTGTAAAACCTTGGAGGTCATACACGTTAATTGAATCGACTCATGGGAAATCGTCCGTTGTCCAATACCTGGTTTCCTAATTGCAGTATGGTTTGTTTTGCCCCACGACAATGACGAATAAGATTTATCTCTTTTGTAAACGTCTACTTATGCACCGGGGATTATTAGTAAAATTTTTCTACATTCCTAATGTCTTAAACCATCTCGTGTCCTCAAGTTACAACGAAATCGTTCTCTCAAATTCTGAAACAATGTATTCGGACGTTTTCGCTCATGCCGATTCAATCAATGTCATGATAATATTTGTTCCCTGGGTTTGAACTCCTTTTTAAGGGGGGCTGTGCCCAAAATTGTGCTAAAGTCGCTAATGTCCATCTCCCATTGTGGGTCGCGACAATCCACTAATTTAACAAATTTAAATCATACATATCCAAAGACTTTCTAGAATACTACAATGACCTAGAAAATTGAACAGTAGCTGAAGCAAATGACTCCTTCAACGAGAGAAGTAATGGAAGTCAATCAGGAAAAGGATAATGAGCTAAGTATATCTGATCTTTAGTAAAATGGGGCTGTCACTAGACTTTGGAATTGCTGGGGTGAAAGGGTGTAACCTCAGTAAATTTTAGTGAGGAACACATTTTTGAGCTTAAACAAACGCGAAACAGCTTTTTTGGCGGAGTGAAAGGAGCTTAAAGTTGTGATGATGAGAAGAATGTTCCTCATTGGCTTTCTTCTAATGATGTCATAAAAGGTCTCCCCATGGTTTCAACCGCCGCGAATCTAATGTATCATGGCGGCTGTACAGATGGAATGTATATGAATAATCACATGTGAAAGGATCACGGCAGTCATTGATCCTTGTGACGTCACAAAATCTGCTGGGGCAGTATTTTTCAATTAGGGGTGGGGGGGGGGGGCCCC